CGCCCAGTGAGCAGGGACATCTTCAACTAGACCAGGCTACTCAGAGCCCTGTCCAACCTGGCCTTGAATGTCTCCAGGAATGGGGCCTCCAGGCTACATCCTACAACAAACCTCTATAGGGTTAACTGTTTCTGTAGTTAAGTCCGCAAAGAAAGGAAGCCAGGGGCTACAAAAAGCCAAGGATGTATGCTAATTCTACTTAAAATACTATGAAAAGTAGGTTTCATGCAAGTTTAAGTGGTGAGAGGCAGCTGGAATGATAGTACATCTTCTATTCAAAAACAGGCAAAGAAGTTCAGAACAGCTTCTGCAGAAACAAGTTTTGTCCTTTTCAGGCTGTACTTTGAGTTGATAAGAGCATTCCAAGTGCTCTGATGGTAAGCTCTGTCACGGTGGAGCATGTATGTAAGGCAGCAGCTGAGGAAAGGGAGGATGCACTCCCTTTTACAAGGAGTTAAGAATCTATACAGTGGGCTGCTGCCTCGGGAATTATCATGGTAGCTTAGAGTTTCCTTTCACAAATCACTGACAACAGAGAACAACAAAGCGATTTCCTTTTTAAATTTACATCCAGTTGGGACTTAAAATGTCACCATCTCTTAAATAGCAGGTTCTTCAGAAAACAGATGTGCTTGGAAAAGCACAGTGGGCTTGTCTCTACCCCTCACTTTGAAACAAACAGTATTTGCCTGTACGAAGAAAAAAACAGCCCGATAAACAGAAAAAAAGAGTGGTCTTAAAGAAACTTTGAAACAAATCTCTGGAAAAGACCTTTATTTAAAGGTAAATTATAATCTTGGGTATATCCCCCACTGTTTGGCATCAACCAGGACAGAGGAGAGATAAGTATAAAAACCAAGCCACAACAAGCAGTACTGAAGTTTCTGCACACATTCATCTTCCTGGACAGCAGTAGAATTCTGACATGGTAATGAAACTTACCAGTAACAGCTGATGCATCTATTTAACAAAAAATAGATTCTGAAAGATAACACACTCACATAGAATTCCTCTGTTAATACAAAACTAACCTTGATTCTTACAACTCCACTTCTGTTACACAAAAGGTGAGAAAGAGGCATTGTGGCTTCTCTGCAGCACAGAGCTGATCACACAAATTCCTTTTTTTTTTTTTTTAACCAACTCGCAACACCAAAACCTAGAGCATTCAAGATTTAGTCTTCAGAGAACTACGTGCAAAGTGATTTTAGTAGGAACTACCCTCCCCATTCCTCAGGTTTTGTATATTACACAAAGAATCAGTAACAAATTCTGTAAGTAACCAAAATAACATTCTTTGAAATAACTGTTTCTCTCCTGCTACCCCCTTCAGAATATTCAGATTTATACTGATCTGTGTAACAACAGAAAATCCCTCATTATTCCATTCTCCAAAGTACATTAACAGTCCTCTGAGAGGAAGCTGAAGGTCACCATGCAAGTCAGTCAAATGCCCTTTCTTACTTGTTTTGGGTTTGTTGGTTTTGTTGGCTTTTTTTTTTTCCCCTGCTGTGTTGACCAGTTATAGAACCTTACTGGTGGAGAGTATGGCAAAGTAGTGATCATGTGCTCTGCTTTCTTGATACTTTTCCACTGCTTAGTTCATCATAATGAAGTTAGATTTACAATGAGCTTAAAAGAGAGGAAGAAAAAAAAAAAAAACGGAAATAAGTGTTCAGTACATTACTCTGATTTATGTGTTTGCACGTGGATTTCTGCGTTATGTAAATAATTAGGATTGTAGGGTCTGGATAGATGTTTTTGTTTTAGGACAGGAGTGTATTATGACAGACTACCTCCCTTCCTATCCTTTCCTTATTGCAGTGCTAGTTCTCAAAAAGCAGTACTTGTCTCCAAGTTCCTCACTACTACCCAGAGATTCTTGATTAAAGGAAAATTGCTAAACACAGGCCCCTAAAAGGAAAGTGATCTGTGAAAATATCTAGCAGGCATTCCTATTTTAGCAACCCTCCTCCTAAACATCATTTTCAAATTGTAACAAATAAAAAAGGAAGCAGGTATGCAAGGAATAAATGCAACTTACCTATAAACTCGGTGACAGGATCATGTTCACCTTCTGTTTTAATAGTACCTGCAATACTTTCATTCTCCAAGATTGGAAGAAAAAGCTGTACAAAGTCTGAGGTATACGGAGGAGCAATCACATCCAGCACCTGAAACAGCAGACAAAACTGGATTATTCTTCCAGTTAGATGAGTGGTTGGGACAACATTTAAGTCACAACACTCTTATCTTGAAAGCGTACAAGTAGTTGCACTTTTAAGACCTCTTGTTCTCCATACAAGTAATCAGTTATCTATTCTTGTGGTACTCTATCCAGTACCTTAACACTTTCAGAAGTCAGGAGTCGGTAGGACTAAATCACACTGTGCTGAATGCTGATATTACATATATTACTCAGAACCTGATCTTGTATCTTGAAATATTTTTTGATCTGAGGCAAGCTGATTCAGTACCCAAACGCATACAACTGATAATATTATTTCTCTATGTTAGTAAACACAATTTTTGCTGCTGACCTCTGTAACAAAGTATCTGATGAGAGAGATATCTGTATCTAGCTTCTCCAGGCATTTGCGGATATAGCTGACAACAGGCAGGACATATCCTCGACTGAGTAAGTGCACCATTCTATCCAAGAGAGTCTTCTTTAATTCCAACTGATGGGGGGGTGGGGGAGAGAGAACCAACAGATTAGAACTTCCTCTTGAAAATGTACATTTTTTTATTGCTCTTTCTTACTAATTCAAGAACTGCTATGTTGTATTTTAACCATGATCATATTCCTCAATTAAACTCGAAAAACTGCTCTGACAGCAAAAGCAGTTATCTTGAATAAGCATAACTAATGTGAAGGAACACAAATACCGAATCCTTTGAGAATCACCTGCTCCATGACATCGAGCTGTGAATGTTCTGTTTCAAAGAGCTTGACAAGAAGTTGTAGAACTTGCGGATGAAGCAGCTGATGGCATGTACTGATCTGCAAACAAGACAGAAAAGTAAGAACATCAGAACTT